AAAATTATGGAGCCCTGGTGGCATAGTGGTTACGAGCTCGGCTGCTAACCAAAAGGTCAGCGGTTCGAATCCACTAGCTGATCCTTGGAAACCCTATGGGGGCAGTTCTCTCTGTCCTATAAGGTCACTATGAGTTAGAATTGTCTCTACAGTAATGAGTTTGCTTTGGTTTTTCATCAACAAGAAGTATTGAGATTTAACTTAAAATTAGCCTTGTTTTGTGGTCTAAACGTTAATTCTTTCATCATTATGTCTGCCCCACTACCCTCTCTAGCCTCATTTCCCTCTGTCCCTTTCTGAACTCCATTCTACTGTAATACCAAACCCTTCTGGCCCCTGAATGCCCCATGCTCTCTTTAGTCTCCAGGCCATGCCACAGGTAGTTCCCAATGCCTTGCCTACTCTCTCTAACCCTTGATTATGTTAAATTTTACTCATTTTTCAGATCCAATCTGTAGATACCACTTCTTTAAAATAAAAACATACACCCATTCAGACCCCCAAGGAGCCCTGGTGGGGCAGAGGTTAAGCCTTTGACTGCTAACAAAATGTCAGCAGTTCCAACCCATTAGCCCCTCTGTGGGAGAAAGATAGGGCAGTCTGCTTCCTTAAGGATTACAGCTTTGGAAACCCCGTGGGGCTATTCTACTCTGTCTTATAGGGTTGCTATGAATCAGAATCGACTCCACAGCAGTGGGGTTGGTTTGGTTTGGTTATTCAGACTCCCCAGTGCTTTCTTAGGTGTCCTTCTGTGTGCTCCAAGAACCCTGGCCGTCCATTAGCATGGCATTAATCTTGCTCTACTGCAATACCTTGCTTAATCACTGATCACCTCCACTGAGCTCTCCACCACCGGTCTGACACTTTGTTGTTCTCTGGCGGCTTGTGTGTCGCTGTGATTCTGGAAGTTATGCCAATGGTATTTCAACTACCAGCAGAGTCACTCATGGTAGAAAGGTTTCAGCAGAGTTTCCAGATTAAGACAGACTAGGAAGAAATCCTGGTGATCTACTTCTGAAAATTAGCCAAAGAAAACCCTATGGATCACAATAGAATATTGTCTGATATAGTGCTGGAGGATGGGCCCCCTAGGCTGGAAGGCACTCAAAATACACATTGGCCACAACTGTCCGATCCACAACCATTCTCTGGGAAGACAGGGAGGGCAGGTGTGGTTGGAGTGCCTGCTTACCTTCTCCAAACCTGACCATTCATTGTTCAAGACTATTCATCCAGTTAAGATACGGTCAGGACAGGAAGAGAGACAGAGACATTAGCTCATGGCTGATTTTGGTCAGTACTGTAATATTTTGGGCTTGAGATGCTCCACTTACACATCTCCACCATTTCAAATCCTACCCAATCCTCTGCAGTACTGCTTTTGAGACTTTCTATATCCTTATGTACAGTAATAATTGACATTATACCTCACGACGTACAACATAAACACACATAGCACACATATGTAGACAAATATTTATAAATACATAAACAAATGTATGATGTAGAATTAAATATCTATATAACTAAAACAAAAGTTGCATGAAACAATATCTTTGCCATGGCATAATAAAGGTAAAACATGACAAAGATAATATAAATGTGATTTTGCTAAGAGTCTAATGCATTCTGATATACCCTATTCTTTACGTCAAAAAAAGGTTGTGTTCTCTATATTTTTACAACAATAAAAAAAAATTTAACATAGTCACAACTCACTAAATTGATTTTCAATCCATTAATGGGTCATGTTTGAAAATCACTATGCTCACTTCTCACAGCAATCTTGTACGGGGATTTGCTTGGAGTCCTCATTTTAATTCCATTTCTTTGAGCCATTGAATCATTTCACGTGTAGGTTGACTTGGCAGCATTTGCTCAGCCCTGCTGAAGAGACCTGAGCTCACCCAGATGTGAGAGCTAAGATGGGTCCTGAGATGCCCTCAGATGCAGATGAAAGGTTGAGGAAAGGGTTGAGGTTTACTCTAGCACCACTTTGCCAGATGGGAGATGCCGTAAGCAGCAGGGAGGATACAACAGCCAAAGGCCATCCCTGCAGTGGGGAGCACCACCAGGTCTTTTAAAGAAGCCCAAAGTGAACTCAGCATGTCTGTGGCGGCTGCTTCCAGCTGAGTGGGCAAGGCAGCTGTGTCTGTGCTGCTGTGGCTGCCCGTCTTAGGAGCATTTCTGACCCAGCCATGCATGCCACATCTAAAGCAGAAGCCAGACCTCTGGAGATCCCCAGCCTGGGTGGTCTTTGCATCCGGTTCACCTCGCAGAGGCACTTCCCAGCCCTGGGAGCTGCCCGCACCTATGGACACCCTCTCCTCTGCATCTCCACGTGCGGCCAGCGCAGCTCTCCATGGCCCTCCCGCCCAGGTGGCCCGCTCCTCCACGAGCTGGGCTTAGCACCCTGGTCTGCTCTGTACTCTTTCAGCAGAGAACCCCTAATGGTTCTGGCAGACACTGGGCAACCTTGCCTCGTTTACAGGACTGACAGAGATTCGTCCTTATTTCAATAGGAACCCAAAAGAAGAATTTCAAGTAAATTCTGATTTCAAGCTGCCTTTCTAACCAAAGGGTGGCACAAACGGTTTGTGCTCAACTACTAACCTAAAGTTTGGCAATTCGAACCCACCCTGCAGTGCCATGGAAGAAAGGCCTGGCAAACTGCTTTTGTAAAGATCACAGCCAAGAAAACCCTATGGAGCAGTTCTACTCTGTAACACATGGGGTCACCGTGAGTGGTGATCAACTCAACAGCAATAGGCTTCTAACCAAATTCCAAGCCCTTGGAACTGTTTATTTTGCCTCAAGGGATATTTTTATCCCTAATATGTATACGAGTGTGTTTCTGTTCACACTGACTTGTGTTTTAGTATCAGGAAACATCTTATATATGAAAAGGTATTGCAAACCAGAAAGGATGATGCGAAAATATAAGGCATTATTGTTATTAAGGTTGCTGCTGCTGTTATTGTTGATGTTGTTCATTTATGTACGCAGCAAACGTTTTCTGCGATTCATTGTGTGCCAGGCACTGATGATACAAAGAATGAAGACATCATCTTTCACATGGAGAAGACAGGTGTGTAAACGGATAACCTTCCAAGTGCGGAAAGTGTAAGAAAAGTTTGAATGAAGTGCCACAGGAGCAGGGACCTAAGCAGGGTAACGAGCGCCCAGAAGTCATCTCTAAATTGTGCCTCCAAACCCAATTCAAGCACCCAGGGGCAATCTTTAAGTTGCCACCCCTCCCCAATTTCAAGATGAATAGACATTGATAGCAGCGACCGTATTAGCAGAACTGCCTTCCCTCCTCTTGTTGGGCTGCCTCAGGCAGGCGCCTTTCTTTTTCTTTTTCTTTTTTTTTTCTATTTTTTTTTTAATTGTACTTCAGGTGAAGGCTTACAGAACAAATAGTTTTTCATGAAACAGTAGTACACATATTGTTTTATGACATTGGTTAACAACCCCACAACATGTCAACCCCCGAACTTCTCAACCTTTCTTTTGGGTGAAAATACACATAGCCAAAGATACACTGTTTCAAAAATTTCTACATGCACAGTTCAGTGACATTGACTACGCTCTTCCAATTGTGCTGTTATTCTCACTTAAGAGGAAGGCTTACAGAACAA